TGAGTTCTTGATGAGTTTCTTGAAGTTTCATTCTTAAATCGTTAATGATGAGTTTTGATGAGTTCTTGAGATGAATGTTATGAGTTTGAGGGTTGTTTTTGAGTAGATTTTTGTGTACTTAGGTTGGGTATTCAAATCTAAGAGGGTTTGGAAGAAACCATTCAATTCTAGGTGAATTAGGGCAAAAAACCGAAGAAGAAAGTTCGTCGGAATGTTTTGGGGAAGGGGTGGTGCGACGCGTCACTGATTCTAGCGCGCTGCTCCAAAAGTGAGCCTCTAATTTTCAGGGGCTGGAGCCCCATGTCACTTTGTAGGCCAGGGTCGCGTGCCTTGTCCTTTTTCCATCATTCATCCTGTCTGAGTTCTTTTAAAGTGTACCTTCACACTGTCAAGCCCCGAGGCTACCCCTAAGAAGCAGACACGGGACCTAGGATCATGGGTGACCCCAAGATAACCCTGCTGGCATATCATAAGCATACTAAAGAAACTGAAGTAAGGAAAACTGTGCGGAAGCTAAATCATTATATAAACTGAATAGTTGGGAATAACCAAACCAATCTAAATATAACAAAGACTATGAGTTTAATAACAAATGAATAATGAAACTCAAATGAACTAAAGCTGAATCTAATCTATGTCTCAAAGTAGCCTCTAACTGATTAGAAGTGTTGGGACATGCCCCAACTGAATCTAGCAAAAACTGAAACTACAGGACTAAAAATAGAAAGATAACATATCAATCGTCCTTGAAGAATAAAGACTCACCACTTTAGCTGCTTAACTGAAGTTCGGGAACCGATCTAAGCTTGATATGACTATTGGGGACCTGGACATACATTACAAAAAGATGTAGCGCAGAGTAGGCGTCAGCACTAGAAAGGTACTGAGCATGCATGATAGAGTAAAGCTTAATAGTAAAACATAACTAAACCAAAGCGTATAACTAAACAATGATATAATATAAGCATGATAATAGACTGAGAATACTGAACATGAACTAACTGAATGTAATGACAAAGTTTATAACATGCTAAGACTCATATCTAACTGTAACTGATAACAAGGTCAATGCAATAGAATTTGACTATAAGGGAGCTACTAATAACCGACATAAAACCACATGAGCAAAATGTGGAGTCCGATGTATACGCCTCATCGAGATGACCCAATATACCCTACCAAAGGTATAGAGGGAAGACTGGCGTGATCACTAAAATGATGCCCACATAGGCAACTTACAACCTCCGGGGGCATGTAGTTCTGGGACTTGAGGGTGACTGAACCTAGTCCAACTCGGTATTAAGCTACTCCCAATTGATTATGTAAATAACACATTATGACTGAATTTCTGTAATACTGGATGGCTCAATTACTGACATGTAAACTCTGAGAATGCAACAATTATAACTAATTATGTGACATTCGTAAACTGAAGCATGTATATCTGGTATAACTGACCTAGCTTTTGTAATTCATGAACTAAAAGAACTACATAGCTAGGGTTCTGAAACTCATGCAAGAAACTAAGAGACAACATGATTATCTGGTTTGGATAATTCAAATAGCTAAAACCCAACAATTCTAACATTCAAGAAACCCTAGGTCTAGATAATAGCAAGAGAATCAAGATTCTGACTGAAATCTAGGGACCAAATGGGTGAAAGGGATCTACTAGTGAAATCCCACATACCTTGTGATGAATTCCGCGGAGAAATCTTTCGATTCCAGGGCAAGAACTGATGAAAAGTTGCTACGTTCTTGAACTAGGACTTGGTCGACATCTCCTCTGTTTTGCTCTAAGTTTGATCTATTTCTTTGTGAATAATTGATTAGGTTAGGTTCTAATTTTTTTACTAGGCTAAAACTGACTAATACCAGGTAGTTTAGGGGTTAGACGGCGTAGTTTAGGTGTCCAACAAATAGGGGAAAAGACCAAAATAACCCTACTTAAAAATTTGATGGGTTGACCACGACCACTTTCATGGACCGTGAAAGGGACCATGGACCATGGGACCGGTCGTGGTCCTTGGCCAGTGGCTACTGGTTTTGGGGTCCAGTCCATGAACCCTTACCACGGACCGTAAAGGTCCCCATGGTCCTCACTTGGGATGTGGTATAGCGTCCCAGGTTCACGGACCCTCCCACGGATCGTGAAGGTCCCCATGGCCCTCAATTAGGCGTGGGGATCTATGGGCTAGGCTTGGTGGCCTATTGGCTAAGCTTTACGGATGCCTCCACAGCCTGTCATTAGGAGCACGGACCGTAAAGGTCCCCGTGGTCCTCACTTAGGCATGGAGGATTCTAACTCCCCTTTATGGGCACCTGTACGGCCTGGAAGGTGGTTCACGACCCGTGGAGCGTCTTGTGGTCCACCTCGCTGGGAGGTGATGAAGTCCATAGGTAGGTCAACTGATCGTGGACCCTCTCATGGTCCATGAACCCTGCCATGGAGTACTGGTTCAGGTGATTTTCTGCAATTCTTTTCTAGGTTTTGTTTTCGAGGTGTTACAATATCTCCCCCTTGGGAACATTTGTCATCCAATGACGACTAAACTAGCTGGAATGGAGGGAAAAAGCTGCAAACCCTACCAGTAAATACTGGAAACTGATTTCTGACTAAACTAAGTTCCATGAACATGCAAATACACTGAATATGCAAGTACAAACCGAATGAATATGATACTAAGACCTATTTTACACATGTGTAAGTGAAAAACTGAGGATGAACTATTACCTCAAGCTGAAGTGGAATCGAAAAATAAAAAGGTAAGGATATTTAGCCTTCATGGCTGCTTCTGCTTCTCAAGTAGCTCCATTTACGGACTGACTCCTCCAGAAAACCTTAACTGAAGCGACTTCTTTGTTTCTCAACCATCTAACCTGACGATCAAGAATCTCGACTGGTACATCCTCATAAGTGAGACTATCTTTCACAGCCACTATCTAATTGTACTATAAATGCTGGATCATCCACACATTTCTTCAACAACGAAATGTGAAAGACCGGATGCACTGCTGCTAATTCTGCTGGCAACTCTAACTCATATGCCATATTTCCAACCCTTTTCAGGATCTTGTAAGGGCCTACATATCTAGGACTTAGCTTCCCTTTCTTGCCGAATCTCATCACCTCCTTCATAGGTTACACTTTCAGGAAAACCCAATCGTCAACTTGGAACTCTAGTTTCATTCTCCTTACATCTGCGTAGGACGTCTAGTGACTCTGGGCTGTTTTAAGTCTATCTCTAATGAGTTTCACTTTCTCCATAGTATCATGAATTGAATTTGACCCTATCAATTCTACTTCACCTACTTCAAACCAACCACCTGCGGATTTACATCTACGCCCATACAATGCCTCATAAGGGGCTATCTGAATGTTGTAATGGTAGCTATTATTATAGGTGAACTTTATAAAAGGAAGGTGATCATCCCAACTACCCTTGAAATCGATCACGCAAGCTCTCAACATGTCCTCTAAGGTATGAATGGTACGCTCTCCCTGACCATCCGTCTGTGGATGAAATAATGTGCTAAGATTAACCTGAGTACCAAAATCTTTCTTAAATGAGAGGTAAATTGAGGACCTCTAATAGACAAAGGAGCCCCATGTAACCTACCTATCGAATTAATGTAAAGCTTGGCATAGTCCTCCGCCGAGTTTGTAGTCTTGACAGCCAAAAAGTGCATAGACTTAGTAACTGTGTCAACTATCACCCAAATGGAGTTATACTGTCTTCGAGTACAAGGTAATCCTATAATGAAGTCCATGTTGATCACTTCCCAATTCCAAGTAGGAATGTTGATCTTTTGAGTCATACCCCTTAGTTTTTAATGTTCTACTTTCACTTGCTGACAATTGGGGCACTTAGCCACAAAATCTGCTATGTACCTCTTCATGCCATTCCACCAGAAGACTTCTCATAGATTAGAGTACATCTTAGTGATGCCTGGATAAATAGAATTACTGGAGTTATGGGCTTCTTCAAGAATATGCTGTCTCAACTCACCCACCTTAGGAACACATAATTGACCCTGATAGCGAAGCACACTATCTCCTCTTTGGGAGAAAAACTCAACTCATTGTTGATGGACTGCACCCTAAAGTTGGTCGAAAAGGTCATTAATCCTAGGAATAGGGTACTTATTCTTGATTGTGACTTCATTCAACTGCCTGTAGTCAATGCACATTCAGAGAGACCCATCTTTCTTCTTCACAAACAACACTGGTGCACCCTATGGTAAAATACTAGGTTTGATGAAGCCCTTATCTAGAAGGTCTTTCAACTGCTCTGTCAATTCTTAAAGCTCATTGGATCCATTCTTCAAGGAAGAATAGAGATATACTGGGTATCTGGAAGGAGATCAATTTCGAAGTCGATTTCCCTTTCGGGAGGAACTCCGGGAAGATATTCTGGAAACACTTCTGGGAATTCATTTACTAATGGAACTGACTCAAGAGTTGGGGTTTCAGATCTTGAATCCTTAAAACTAACTATATGAGTGAGGTAATCCTTAGAGATAATTTTTCTAGCCTTAAGGTAAGAAATAAATCGACCTGTAGGAGCTAAGCTACTACCCTTTCATTTTCTGATTGGTTAATCTGAAAATTAAAAACGAACGATCCTAGTTCTACAATTGACTGAGGCATAACATGAATGTAACCAATCCATGCATAGAATGACATCTAAGTCTACTATTTCTAACTCTACAACATCTGCTAAGGTGACTTTTTGAGAAACTGTGAAAGAAATTTTTTTTGTATACCCATCTAGCTAAAATTGGGTCACCGACTGGAGTACAGACTGAGAACGGTTCTGAGACAGTTTCTGGACTAACATCGAAATTGACTGCTATATAAGAAGTTACAAAGGAAAGAGTAGCCCCTGGATCTAAAAAATCATAAACATCTAAGTTAAGGACTAGTGTCGTAGTAGTGACCACATCAGGAGAATCTTCCTGATCTTGGCGAGCCTGAAAAGCATACAACTATTTTGGTGCTAGCCGCCACCTGTACCAGATGAGTTACCCTGCTGATTCGAGCGACCTGTTCGCGCTGCTGAATTTGTAGACTGAGCTCTACTATTACTACCTCTTTGACCCTGTTTAGAAGGAAGATCTTGCAACCTGTGACCAGACTGACCACAACCAAAACATCTTTCCTTTCTTGCAAGGCACTTGCCCGAATGGTTCTTACCACACTTAGGACAATTAGGGTAGGTTCTATTACCTGAGACACTCCCCTGAGACTTAGAACCTGTTGCCCTACCTTTCTGATCCTGTCGAAACCTGGAAGATGGAACACTAGCTGATGAAGGGGCTGGGGATCCTGATTTTTACTACCCTGCGAGCAATTTCTACCACCCGATTTCTATTGAGAATACTCATAGTTCCTAGTCCTATCCTTGTTGTTCTCCTTGCCCAATTCCCAAAGCTTATCTCCCTCAACCTACTGAGCATGAGTCATGAGCCTAGAGATGTTCATATTTTCCAACAACATGGCCTTTCTTCATTACGTTTTCACTAAGTCTGACACTCCATATATAAACTTGTTCATTTGAGCCCTGGAATCGGAAACCATGTGAGGAACATACTTGGAGAGTTGGGTAAACTTAGTACTCTTGGACTATCACACTACCTTACCTTAAGTTCATGAACTCATGCGCTTTTACCTCCCTCAGCTCTCTTAGGAAGAACATGTCCAGAAAAGTCTCAATAAAGAATTCCTAAGTGATAGGACCTACATCTGTACCCCTGTTTTCCTTCCACTGAGTAAACCAAATGTCCACCACATCCTTTAGCTGGTAAGATGCAAAATCAAACCTTTCATTACTGGTCACTTGCATCACTCCAAAGATCTTCTTGACCTCATCTATGAAGTTTTTGGGCTCTTCTCCAACTTGTGACCCTAAAAATTCAGGCAGGTTCATTCTAATAAAATCACGAACTCTATCTGCAGCTAACCCAACATTAGTATTTGTAGGAACTTGAACCTGCTGATTGTTGTGGTAGGTCACACTTTGAGCCAACAACTGAATGGTTTTCCGAAACTTTGTGTTCAAAACTTCCTGGTTTGGGACTGGAGGAGCTGCGTTTGCGTTCCTGGCATTCTCATTCCTAGCATATGCTCCACGGGAAGGCATGATCTAAAACACATAACATCGAGTTAGAATGAGGAATTTGATCATAACTTACGCACGATAAGAGTAACAAGAAAATGATTTTTTCCTAAAACACTTTGTAGTCTCTCTCTTATTAGTCGTGGTGCACTACACACCCATGAAAATGACTTTACTTAGTGTGGCTTTTCAGACATGCTAGGACTCATAATCCTAATGTTCTGATACAAAGTTTGTCACAGCCCGAGGCTATACCCAAGACGCGGACACGGGACCTAGGATCATGAGTGATCCCAAGCTAAGCATGCTGGCATTTCATATGAATACAAAACAAACTGAAGTAAGGAAAATCGTGCGGAATCTAAATCATAAGATAAACCAAATAGTGGCGAATACCCAAATCAATCTGAATATAATAAAGACTGTGAGTTTATCAAAAATTAAATAATCAAATTCAAATAAACTACAGTAGAATCTAATATAGGTCTGAAAGTAGCCTCTAAGTGACTAGAAATAGTGGGACATGCCCCAAATAAATCTAGCAAAAATTGAAACTAAAAGACTATAAATAGGAAGATAACATGTCACTCTTCCTCGAAGAATGAGGACTCACCACTCTAGCTGCTGAACTAAAGATCGGGAACCGATCTAAGCATGATCTGATTGCTGAGGACTTGGACCGACATCACGAAAAAATGTAGCGTAGAGTATGCGTTAGTACTTGAAAGGTACTGAGCATGCATGATAGAGTAAAGCTGAATAGTAAACATACGTGAACTGAAACGTGTAACTAAGAAATGATATGATATAAGCATGATAATACATTGAGAATACTGAACTTGAACTAACCAAATGCAATGACCAAGTTTATAACATGCTGAGACTGATATCTGACTGTAACTGATAACATGGTCAATGCAATAGAATATGACTGTAAGGGAACTACTAATAACAGACATAAAACCACATGAGTTAAATGTGGAGCCTGATGTATACGACCCATCGAGAGGACCAATATACCCTTCCACAGTTATAGAGGTATGACTGGTGTGATCACTAAAATGATGCCCACCGAGGGGATGTACAACCTACGGGGGCACGTAGTTCTAGGACTTGAGGGTGACTGACCCTAGTCCAACTCAGTATTGAGCTACTCCTAATTGATTTTGTAAATAACACATTATGACTGAATTTCTTTAATACTGGATAACATAACCACTGACATGCAAACTTTGAGAATGAAACAATTATAACTGATAATGTGACATTCGTAAACTGATGCATGTATATTTTGAATAACTTACATGAAATAAAAGAACTACATAGCTAGGGTTCTGAAATTCATGCAAGAAACTAAGCCACAACATGATTATCTGATTTGGATCATTCTAATAGCTAAAACCCAACAATTCTTACATTTAAGAAACCTTAGGTCTAAATAATAGCAAGGGAATCAAGATTCTGACTGATATCTAGGGACCTAATGGGAGAAATGAACCCACTAGTGAAATCCCACATACCCGGTGATAAATTCCATAGAGAAATCTTTCGATTTCGGGGTTGGAACTAATAAAAAATTATTGCGTTCTTGAACTAGGGCTTGGTCAACTTCTCTTCTATTTTGCTCTAAGTTTGATCAATTTCTTAATGAATAATTCATTAGGTTAGGTTTTAATTTGTTTACTATGCTAAAACTGACCAAAACCATGTAGTTTAGGGGTTAAACAATGTAGATTACGTGTCCAACATATACAGGAAAATACCAAAATAACCCTACTTAAAAATCTGACTGGTCGTTTCATGGACCGTGAAAGGGACCACGGACCGTGGGACCGGTTGTGGTCCTTGGCCAGTGGCTACTAGTTCAGGGGGTCCTGTCCACGAGCCCTTACCACGGACCGTATGGAGGACCACAAACCGTGAAGGTCCCCGTGGTCTTCACTTGGGTTGAGGTTTGGTGGCCCAAGTTCACAGACATTCCCATGGAGTATGTAGAGGACCACGGACCATGAAGGTCCCCGTGGTTCTTACTTAGGCATGGGGATCTATGGTCTAGGCTTGGCTGCCTACTAGCTAAGATTCACGGATGCCCTCACGGCCCGTCGTCAGGACCACGGACCGTGAAGGTCCCCGTGGTCCTCACTTAGACGTGGGGGGATTCTAACTCCCCTCCACGGGCACTTTTACGGCCCGTGAGGTGGTCCATGGCCCGTGAAGGGTCCCGTGGTCCACCTCTACTTGGAGGTGATGAAGTCCAAGGGCCGGTCAACGGACCGTGTTCCCTATCACGGTCCGTGAACCCTGCCGTGGAGCACTGGTTTAGGAGATTATTTTTAATTTTTTTATAGGTATGGTTTTTGAGGTATTACACGCACCATTCCTTATTTTACTAATCTAAATCATATTTAATCATCACGAGATACTTCCTATCATGAATCATAACTCTTGAATCCAAATTTCAATTTCAAGAAAAGATTAAGAGTCAAGTTCGAGGGATTTCTTTTGAGTAAAGTCTGAGAAAGTCCCTTTGATCCTCTTCGGGGAGTCTTCCATAATTACTCATAAGTTGATTCAAGACTCTAGTTAGTGAGTATGAGAATGAGGAGAGTGTGTTCTTGAGCCTACATTATTATTAAAGTCCTTAAGTCGAGTTGTTCATGCCCATATATTTTGCATGAACACTATAAATTGAGTATCCTTGGGAGGACTACTATCTTCGAGTTCTATGTTCTTGAGTATTCGGTTCCTAATCCTTTTTTTGAAACTATATTTCAGAATTATGGATTACCATATGTTATACATGGAGGTACTACAGTTGAGTCGGCCATGCTCATAAGTCCGCATGAACCCTAAGAGTTGAGTATTCTTTAGATGAGTAGTATCATTGATCTTTGAGTTCTAGAGTTGTTGAGTTCCGAGTACTGGGTTCTATATATGGTTATTTAAAATATTGAATTGGGTCATTCACGTCTATAATTCTGCATGAACCCTATTTTGAGAAGTATTGTACAATTATTTATAATATGTTTCAATACTTGAGTAAATGAGTATGAGGATCAGGAGAGTCGAGTTTCATTTTTTTAATAATGAATATAAGGGATCTATGTATTCCCAATAGTAAATGTTTTTACATTTAAAATGAGAGGACACTTTTATTTCCGAATGAGTTTGTGAGGAGTTTTGAGCACTATCTCTTTTAAGATAACCATTTGAGTAATAATCTCAAAATTTGAGGATGAGGAAATGTTTTTAAACATATGAGCATGTGTTATATTATTGGGAGTAGTATTGAGCACCGATACATGGACAAGTTCAGACAACTCAAAGTCCTCATAAATTATGTCTACCAACGTGAGTAGAAAGGTTCATACTTTTTAGATGATTCCTTACTGATTTTAAGCATAGCTTAGTGGGTCCACTTAGTTAGAACCTCCCAAATAAGAGTTATTATTGTATTCTTACATAAAATTGAGTTATTATTGTATTTTACATATAGTTTAGCTTTTATTTATTGTTCTAAAAGCTATCCATATATTACATCTTTTATTGTTGCTTTATCCTTAAGTATCTTAAGTTTAGTATCTTGAGTTGAGTACCCTGACTCGAGTATATTGAGTTGAGTATCTTCAGTTGAGTATCTTACCTTTTATTTGAGTATCTTATCCTTGAGTTGAGTATCCTTGAGTTGAGTCGAGTTTGAATTGAGTTCAGAGAGTTTCTTTTCTACAAGTTTAAGCTTACGTTTATGCTTTAGAATTCCCCTTAATGCTCGTACATTCCATGTACTGACGCCATTTGGCCTGTATCTTTTTATGTTGCAGATACAGTTATTCAAGATCATCAACAAATTCTTCATTAATACCACTTGTAGTTCCAGTTAGCTTTGATGAGCCTCCTTGCTTCTGGAGGGTTCCACTTTCAGTTTCAGTTTGTTAGGATGTTGTGTTTCTTGTCCCGATAATCCATATGTAATAGTAGAGGCTTCATAGATTCTTTAGAGGTCTAGGAGTCTATCATTATTTCCTTTGTTGTTGTAATGTTTTGATTCTATGAGACATTTAACTTATACTCGTTAAATTCTAATCAAACGCACATTGGAGATGAATTTAAATTATGTTTCTTAAAGTTATTTTTGCATCATGAGTTTTCATTTTTCTTAAGTAATGTTTCGACTGAGTATTGAGACAGGCCAAGGGTTCTCATGAAAACCAGTATTGGTTTTGGAGTGCGAGTCGCGTCCAGGGCATAGGATCAGGGCATGCCATTAAAAATAATCACTAAAAGTAAAATTATTATGTAATACTTAAATTTAAATAGAAAAGTAAACAATAAAACAGAAAATGTCGGAGTAGAAAATCTCACCAGAAATGAAGGGTTGATAAGGACCTGATTCGTTGTTGTTAGTTGGTAGTTACCAAAGTAACTATAAAATTGGAAAAAATATCATAAAAGGGGAGTGGGGAAGAGGGTTGTTTGTTTGTTGCGGGCTTGATCGCGTTGGTCGGAGTTTTGAGCAGAACCGAAGTGGAGCAGTGCGGTTTTTACTGTTCGTTTATTATTCACTAGAGTTGAGAAGAAGACGGAGTGGGGTTTTGGTGGTGAGATCTGGGGGTTCATTTGTCATTCACTATAGTGGCAAAGAGGACATAGTGAGGTTTTGGTGGTGAGATCTGGTGGTTCATTAGTAGTTCACTCGAGTTGCGAAGGGGACATAGTGGGGTTTTGGTTGTGAGATCTGGTGGTTTGTTTGTCATTCACTGGAAAGGCGAAGAGGACAACATGGGATTTTGGTTGTGAGATCTAGGAGGTCATTTGTGTTAACTAAAGTGGTAAAGAAGACGGAGTGGGGTTTTCATTGTGAGATCTGCTGGTTTGTTTGTGTTCACTGAAGCGGCAAAGGGGACGAAATTGGGTTTTGGTGGGGAGATCTTGTGGTTCGTTTTTCAGTCACCGAAGTGGCGAAGAGGTTGGAGTGAAAAGTCTATCGCACAACTTTAAAGTAATCAAATAAGTGGAGTTTCCTA